CTCCCATTTAGCCAAAGACGTCTGCAGTCGGTATTAAAGCAGTGTGTGGTGTATGGTAAAAGTTAAGTTTTCCATTTTTGGACTCGAATTCGGCATTCTACCGCAAAACACCACATCTTTCCCATTGTAGCCTGTCTGTTTTTTTGCAACCCGGGACCCGTGTGACGTCATGTAGGTTGGTAACTGGTCTATTGGATCAACATTTTTTTTTAGTTCACCACAAAAAAAAAAAACAATGTATGGTAATTTATTGTAAAATTTTGAAAGATCTTTTACTTTACTACTGTATTTTAAATGGTTCATATTCGGAAAACCACGGCTGGCGATTTCAGTGTTTTTGTCTGATAGAAAGTTATGTTGTCTAGATGTGGTACTTCAAGTGTTGAATGACAAAATCATTAACGAAATACCCAAGCTTGCAGTTCGTCACATCCGCCTAAATGCATAAACGATTGTTTTCACATCACCTCATCTTGACCGATCATCTAGTATCTGACAAGCCCCGCCCACTTCATGACATTTCTCATTTGATGAGCTTGAGCTCAACCACTGTGATAAAAATAAAATGCTATTGGATGTTATTTTAAAGGGGAGGGGCCACTCTGTCTCACTCTCTCCTCATATTGAAGTTAAAATTAAGACAAACATCAAATAAAAAAAACGCACATTTCAAAGCACTTCACAACCTTTAATTATGTAAAACAAAACCCCAGCGAGTGTGTATGTTACTGGGTTCTGCTGAAGACTATAAATGGACTTTGATTCCGCCTATGTTGTTTTGCATGAAGATAGACGAAGATATTTAAGTAGATTTCAAAACAGAAACAAAATCATTTTACGGGGCTGGTTCGATTGCATTTTTTAAGGGTCACGAAACACCAAAACACATTTTTTGAGCTGTTGACAGTCGTATATGTGTCCCACACTGCTAAAAACACTATTAGGACGCCTATATTTCACTAAAAAGTGTTAATTGGTTGTTTTTGCGTTATTTCAAGCAAATTCGTACTTCTGGTTTGAAACGAATTTTTGAAGCTGCGTCACGGTCATGAGATAATATTGTGTATTCCAGCGTGCAGACTGGACGTCTGTGCCAGAGTGTGTCTTATTACGTCTTACAGTGTGCTGCATTAATGCATAAGTAAAGCTTGGTTCAAACCAATCAGCGCACTCTATTGTGCAACTTCATTAATATTCATTACTGTCTCACAGTGTTTAGGCGACAGAGACGCCATGTTGTGTTGGCAAAACAAGCGTGAAGTGTTGCTTTTATAGTTTGCTGCAGTTAAGTTTTGTTTTCATTTTCTCTCTGTGAGAGCGCAGCTGGAGTCACGCGTGGATTAACAGTGTACGCGACGCTCGACAACAATAACTTGCCTGTCTAAGGAGGATTATTATTTACCTGAGAGCTGTTCTCATCTGCAAACGCTGAGATCCGGATTCGCTTGTAGTCTCCTCTTCATAAAGACGCGGCTCTAGTTGCTGGTGATTGTCCTGTCTCTACAGATTTGGTAAGTGAGCGACCAGTGCTCTTTGTTTATTCAGTTTGTTTGTATCGAACAAACTACTGCACAGAGTGTAAACATGTTAGCACCACAACCAAACTCGTGTAGGATTTTCACCGCATTTAGTGACCGGAATAACACACGCGGCTTTCTGACACTATCTGCCGTGTGCATCTATGTTTCCGGGAAATGCTGAGGTGTTTTTTTCTCTCATTTGCCGTGTGGGATCAAACATTGCATAAAAAATACACCCTTACATCAGTTCTTCGAATTAAATATCTCGTTTGTCGTGAGGGGCATGAATGAATTCCCTGAATGAAAGAGCCAAACTGCAGTTAAAGTCCACCATTTAATAATTTGGCAAATAATTTGACTACAGATGTCCATGTAAACACAGTCACTTTGTTCCCTGTGTGTGTGTATTTTGACTCTGAAATTCAGCGCACCCAAATAGACACTCCCACACCATGCCTCTTTTCTTCCTCCGACACTCCCCCCTAAACAGAGCTGGACACGCCCACTTTTCTGACTTTTTCCAAAGTAGAGGTGTGAAAACACCCTGCTGAAATGAGGGGGTTTCATGGCCCTTTAAAAAGAAATAAAATAAAGATGTATCATGTTTTGAGTCTCTCTTACCTTCCTGCAGGTACATGACGGACTGAAATGTGTATGTAATACATTTTAAGACTAATTAAGGCCTTATTTTTATACTATGGCATTTAAGGCTTTAAGGATCCATGGACACCCTGTATAACACAATTTTAAAGATACTAAATTAATACAGCTTCAGATGGTTTATAAAAAAAAAATTCAGTTTTTTTTTTTTAATTCTTGCATTTTCCACCAACTCATGCTTTTTGCAAAGCATTCGGAGCTAGCGTTCTAAATGACAAGCACAACCATGATGCCATAATATGCATGAACATCAAGCAGCTCACAAGGTTTTGGAAAAGAGCCCTAGAGTGTGTTTTTCTGAAAGAAGATCCTGGTATATCTATGCATCACATATGAAGCCATCTGCAGCTTGAATCACTTACACACACAAAAAAAAAAGCCTGCCTGCTTGACAGCTGTCAGGCAGCAAAAGTACTTCATAAAAGTAGTCTGACTGCAGTGTGCTATGAATCAGCAGCATCCTAAATGCAAAACTTCAAACAATGCCAATCAAGCCTGCATCAAGGTTGCTTTTCTCAAGAGCATGACACTCAAATGTTCCCCGAGGGCAAGCGTGTTCTACATGCATGACATGCTTTATCTTGTCCTTGGTGCTCTGATCAAGTCTTCAACGTTTCAGTCAAGCTCAAAACAGATTTTTCGCAATTGTTGTTGCTGAGCGTTGTATTGAGGAGGTGCAAACAGCCCTATTAATGGAACTAATAGCCCAGAAAATTCAGCTTCTAAAATATTTGATGAAAAATATATAATTTTGGTCAGTCAAAATCATTCACCAAACCCATTTTGACTATTTAGCGTCTTTTGAATCCACATAACATAACTAAACCATGATCTTTTTTTGTTTAAAAAGTGTCCGCTGTGTGGAATATTTTTCTCCATTTTAAAACTTCTCTACTTTAATCAATACTGAAATGCATTATTAAATTCAAGGATGGAATCTGTGCTTATTTGTGTTAATGTTCTGTGAAGTAAATATCACTAAGTATTCGATAAACACCCATTGTTCAATTTGGTTCACATTTTAAAACAAAAACATTCAAAAATACATGTAGTTTTTACAAACTTCAAAATAATAATAATAATAATAATAATTCCTTACATTTATATAGCGCTTTTCTGGGCACTCAAAGCGCTTTACACAATGGGGGGAATTTCCTCACCCACCACCAGTGTGCAGCATCCACCTGGATGACGCGACGGCAGCCATTTTGCGCCAGACCGCACACCACACACCAGCTGATTGGTGGAGAGGAGACAGAGATGAAGCTAATTATGAAATAGGGAGGGTTAGGAGGCCATGATGGACAGAGGCCAGTGGGCAAATTTGGCCAGGATGCCGGGGTTAACCCCTTACTCTTTTTCGAAGAACATCCTGGGATTTTTAATGACCACAGAGAGTCAGAACCTTGGTTTAACGTCTCTCCGAAAGACGGCACTCACTGAGCAGTATAGCATTCCCGTAACTATAGTATGGCATTAGGACCCACACAGACCGCAGGTTGAGACCCCTGCAGGCCTCACTAACACCACTTCCAGCAGCAACCTAGCTTATGTGGTCCCCATCCAGGTACTGACCAGGCGCAGCCCTGCTTGGCTTCAAAAATGGACCATTGATTTATTTTTTTTAAAAGTATTTATTTAAAAATCTGCTTATTATTAATGTAATATAAAACATATTTCAATAACTAATGATTACAGGGCCAGTGTAAACTATTGCTACATCAAACGCAAAATGTAAACATTGTACTTTCAAGATTGCAACTTCCTTAAGATGCGGTTATTCGTATTTCTGTGTGCATCCTCATAATGGCCTGTGATTTTGCGCTCATATAAATTAGGAAAAGTATTAACGTAAACAAATTATTTTGCAACACCACAACATGAGTGATGAGTGCATAATATGAAATGATAGACTTGTTTTTTCCACCACGGTGACTGAAGCTCTGTACAAGACTTTTGGCCAGCGGAGAAATTAAAATGGTCGTGCCCAACTGAGTCTGGTTCTCTCAAGGTTTTTTTTTCTTCACTCCTATCAGGTGAAGTTTTTTTTTCCCTCTCCGCTGTCGCCACTGGCTCGCATGGTTCAGGATTGGTAGAGCTACGCATCGCTGAATTTGCTCTTTAGTGTTTGAACTCTCAGTAAAGATTTTAAATCACACTGAACTGAGCTAAACTAAACTGAACTTAAACACTAAAAACTGAACTACACTTTTCCAGTTACTATGACCATTTATGTGAAGCTGCTTTGACACAATCTACATTGTAAAAGCGCTGTACAAATAAAGCTGAATTTAATTTTTTATCCACACCAAATATATTGTCATATTTACCAGTTCTATCAGAAGTTGACAAAAAAAAAGTGTACAAAATGACTGAAGAGCAACATGTCTCATGTAACTGAACAATCAGAGTTAACCCTGAATAAAGAAAAAAGCTTGAAAGTATTTGCCTCAGAAAAGCCAATATACAAAATCATATCTTGTCAGTAAATAAGAAAAAAGGCAGCATTTTGCTGAATACATGGATTGTATTACCCAATTCACATTAAACCCTAACCTGTAATGTCTTCACTATTTTATGTATGTTTAAAAACTAAAAAAATTATGTTGTATTTTTTTTTATATTAAAATTAAAGCTACAAAAAGGATATTTTCCATTTTGGTTTTCAGCCAAATGCATCATAAAATGAAAGTATCACTAATAACAAACTTTAATCATCATTCATCCACAACATAGGGGGCCAAGGTAAATGCAAAGCTATGCTTTTACACTAAATATGTAACTTATTAGAACTGGAAGAAGTGTAGAAGTAGCACTCACCTCTTCCACTGAGCATGGTAAAACCACACGACTGAAAAACAATAAGAAAGAAGAAATGTAAATAGAGAAAACGGGCAACTTTTCGCACAAACATTACTTCAGCTGTGTTGTACCACATCAACAATATAATTCTGAGATATAGTTTAAACCAAGTAATTAGTATGCTTCCAAATACTATAGTATTTACTATAGTATTTTTCATGTAACGTAACAGCGTATACAGTATACGATTTATCTACCGCCTTGATGACAGGCAAATATATTTTAGTTCAGTAGAAAACTCTTTCTTCATAATGTAAGAATCCTGCCCAACATTTTCTATTTATGGGTGCTTTCACACCTACACTTTTGTTTCGGAACGTACCTCGTTTGCCCAGTTAGCGCGGTTCATTTAGCATATGTGAACAGGGCAATCGCGCTCTGTTCCGCGCCAAAGTAATGGCTCCGAGACCGCCTGAGTGAGGTGGTCTCGGCTCGATTGAAACGAACCCTGGAGCGGTTCGATTGCAGTGAGAAAGCGATCGGATCCGAGCGCGGTTATATCACAGTGTTTTATGCATATGTAATAGGCATACAGCGATATGAAGACAGAATTATGATTAGGGCGAGAAGTTTCGCGAGTCTCCGGATGCCCACAAACGAGTGATGATCTCCCGGTAATCTTGCGTCTCCCTCACGGTCCTCAAATAGGCATCGTCGCGCACCCTTCTCACCCCTCCCCACCGCATCTCTCCTCAGACACGTCGCAAGCTCACGCACCTTGTCAATCACCACCACCTCTCCTGACAGCTGAGCGGGATGCTGCAAAATAAACCCTGACACTCTGACCAATGCGAGGAGAGTTTATGCACACGTGACTTGTTTGAGGTCTTTTGGTACGATTAGAAACTTTGCAATGTAAAAGCGAACCGCTCTAGAGCAAAGAGCAACAATGTAACAATTGTAATCTCTGTTTCGGAACAACTGAATCGATTCCCAGGTGTGAAAGCAACCTATATCTCCTTTGAAATATGGTATAAATTGCAAAAATAGGGACTTTTTCTTTGTGTTTCCTATTCAGATTTTTACTCCCTGCCCTCCATCTGACTTTCGCATGTCACCAGAACCACGTGATTGAAAACAACATATAGGCTGCGTTCGAAACTGCATACTTCCATACTGTATAGTACGCTAAAATCAGTATGCGAGCTGAGTAGTATGTCTGAATTCATAGAATTCGACAATCAGTATGCGAGAAGTACCCGGATGACTTACTACTTCCGGCGAGATTCTAGAGTGTGCATCCCATGCACGCTGCGCTATCCCATGATGCCCCACAAGAGAATTCATGAATGGAAATAAGGGCTGCGTCCGAAACCGCCTACTACTCAGTAGGTACTGCATTTGAATTTAAACGTAGTACTCAGCCGTTAGAAAAGTTAGTTCTATACAGTATGAATGTGAAAAGTATGAATGGAATTCGGACGTACAACATCCGCCATTTTGTCATGGTTACGTGACCTACCTGTGTCAGTTGCGTCGCCTCAATTCCATTCATGAATTCTCTCGCGGGGCATTATGGGATGCATGGGATGCGCACTCCAGAATCTCACTCTGTACTAGTAAGTCATCCGGGTACTTCTCGCATGCTGATTTTCGAATTCTATGAATTCGGACATACTACTCAGCTCGCATACTGATTTTAGCGTACTATATAGTATGGAAGTATGTGGTTTCGGACGCAGCCAAAGTGACGCAACTGACGCAGGTAGGTCACGTGACCATGACAAAATGGCGGATGTAGTACGTCCGAATTCCATTCATACTTCTCACGTTCATACTGTATAGAACGTACTTTTCTAACGGCTGAGTAGTACGTTTAAATTCAAATGCAGTACCTACTTAGTAGGCGGGTTAGGACGCAGCCATTGTCTTTATTGCTGATCAACAATAATCGCAACTCAACACTGCGGATACTGTGAATGCACACATTGGGACATAGATGTTAAAACAATTAAATTCGTTAAAACAAAGTTGCAATATGTAGCGCAGCCTTAGTATGCGTTAACATTTTTTAATAACAATAATTCTCATTTGCTGTACATTCTATTACAGAATATGCATTACAGACGGATAGGTGGATGTGGATTAAATGCTATGAATAATGTTCATTTTCACAGGCTGGTCATTTTGTTTAGAAAACATTAAATAATATATGAAGCTGTGTTAATGGAAACCAGACGGAGATGACCAATCAGTCTCTCCTCGATGCACAATATCATCGTATGATCTAATAATCTAATACAGCAATGCCAGCCCTCGGTGTGAATCAATCTTGAAAATGAAGAAATACATCTACAGACATGCAAATCGCACAAGTCTACTACACCCATTGTCAAAGGAAGGCCTACATCAGTTTCTATATTACATAACATTTCCTTAATATGTGCACTGCCTTAAAAACCACAAGAGGCCGATGCTTGTGAAATCAGAGATCTAGAGTCTTCTTAGTACCTTGTATTGATCTTTTTAAAACTGGCAGAGACATTTCTGGAATATAACCCATGCACACCTGTTGCATTGCAATTTCATTATGTCAAGTGCAGCAGGTTTGCTCAGATTTGCATTGTCTTGCAAAGTTAAAGGGTGGCAACGTTGAACCACGAGAGATGGTTAAGGAAAATGAATGGATTTCATAGAGTGGTTTAATCTTGGTCTGATCTCTCAGATTAAGGGCTATACAGCGACTGTTTTCAAGCATGTCATGTCCTGTCCAACAGAAGACAGCTTAATTAAAATGTGATAACTACATCCCTAGAGAACAGAAAGACAAAACCTGAAAGGAAACAAGGACAGGTTGGAAATGAATGACCGCTGGCGCACACAAACTCAATTCGCCTGTTAATTTTATTCTTTAAAGTCTTATTTGGATGCACCAAAGAATGTCTAAAAAAGAAAATCCCTAAAAATAGCCAAGTCACACGAGTGAATATAATTAGATTAAGTGGTTAATAAGGCGAACCAAGCGTGTTATGTCAAGCCAGAGGGTCATTCATCACAGTTTAATCATCATTAAAACACTCAACTATACAGACCGACCTGCCGTCGTTAACAGCTTTTAAAAACATATTGATTTTAAATATAAATTACCTATTAAATCATATTGTAATTAGATGGAAATTTTTAGTCTGACGCTATATACAATATATATGACCAAAAAAGTAATAAAAACGTCAAGATATAATACGACATTCAACTCTGATTCACTCGAAAGTTGCTGAAATGTCAAGCGGTTTTGCTGTCATTGCAGGCACACTTACATTTCCAGCCGCAAACATCACGAAAAGTAAGTTGTCAATATAAAAGTATTATGCCTGTGTTGTTAAAATGAGCTGCCGCACGGACCAGGGGTACTCTTAAAATATAAACCGATATAAATCGATTAAGATTTCGATATGTCTGGTCTGAGGGAACTATCAGATTTGGTGCGGTTTAATCTTGAAGGCTAATATCGACCCGCTAAGAGTGCGTGCTAACCCGCCACTCGTTGAAAATGAATGGCAAGTGGTTTCGCTTGGGCTAGCATGCCAATGCTACATGCTACCGCGGCTAAAGCTGGGCCTCATGCGAGCCGGTGTCTCGCGCACTTCCCGGGAGCGCGTTTGCCGCCGCGAATCCATATTTCGCCCTGTCAAAGTACTCAGCGATGAACAGACGCACATTTATCATGTGTAAACCATCGGCAAAGTCAATTTCTGGGTAAGAATACATGACTTCCACTTACTATTCCTTGATGAGCACCATCTTCTTTCCACCGGTTACGGCTGCGCGCAGGCCTGCCGACGTCACGGATGATGTCACAAGCTAAGTGATTCCGCCCTGGCGGGGACATGCTTTGCATTTTGGGCAAACATTTCCAAACGTAGGAAAATGACGAATAGTTGTGTTAAAAATATCACGACACATGTCAACGGAAATTGAATATCAGCCAAAGAAGGCGTTAAATAGATATAAAATAAGATATACAACAAAGCGTTCCCTTGGAAATGAAGTAAGTGTATTATTTAAAAGTAACATTTACAATCACTGGCAATAGAAGAGAGATAAACATATTAAGAAAAAAACTATTGTTTAAAAAGCAGGCTATTTAGTAGTCTAGTCTAAGCGTTGTTTAGTTTGTCATTATTTAAGTATGCTTGTTGGTATCCACTCACCGGCCACTTTATTAGGTACACCTTACCAGAACCAGGTTGGACCCTTTTTGTCTTCAGACTGCCTTAATCCTTTGTGGCATAGATTCAAGAAGGTAATGGACTCATTGTCATGTTCAAGAAACCAGTGCTGTGCTGTGCGTTCAGAGATGCTCTTCTGCAGACCTCAATTGTAACGAGTGGTCATTTGAGTTACTGTTGACTTTCTATCAGCTGGAACCAGTCTGGCCATTCTCCTCTGACCTCTGACATCAACATAGTATTTGCGCCCACAGATTTGCCCCTCACTGGATATTTTCTCTTTTTCGTACCATTCTCTGTAAATCCTAGAGATGGTTGTGCGTGAAAATCCCCGTAGATCAGCAGTTTCTGAAATACTCAGACCAGCCCATCTGGCACCAACAATCCTGCCACGTTCAAAGTCACTTAAATCAATTTTCTTTCCCATTCTGATGCTCGGTTTGAACTGCAGCACATCGTCTTGACCATGTCTACATGCTTAAATACATTGAGTTGCTGCCATGTAATTTGCTCATTAGAAATTTGCGTTAACGAGCAGTTGGACAGGTGTACCTAATAAAGTGGCCGGGGAGTGTATATATATATATATATATATATATATATATATATATATATATATATATATATATATATATATATATATATATATATATATATATATATATATATATATATATATATATATATATATATATATATATATATATATATATATATATATATATATATATATATATATATATATATATATATATATATATATATATATATATATATATATATATATATATGTACTTTCTATATTAATTCAGTCTTACTAATGCTAAACTTAACTTTACCATCAAAAAGTGACTGAAATCTTGACTATGACAACAACTTTATAACAACTTTGTCTAGATGAGAGGTTTTCAAAGTAAGGCCCTCGGGGCGAAGCTGTATGGAGTTAGATTTGTTTCTTTATTATTCAATGAAAAATATTTTGTTTTAGGGAAAAATTAAGTACATAGTAATAAAAATAAAAAATTGCAAATTTAAAAAATTGGATTGCAAAAAATAAACTGTTGTCCTATGATGCAGTTACCACAATTTTCATTGCAGACTCATTTACTTTGCTCCCTTTTCTGCTGTTATTTATTGCATATCTAGAATCTTTGCTTGCGGGTTGGAAAGTTTTGAACCTGCCAGGGTTCATTTTGTGTCGTTATTATTTAAACAAAAATATGAAGTTTTTGACTAAAATTAGGTACATTGTAATTAAAAAAAAAAACATTTAATTACGAAAATGACATTGATAAAAAAAATAATAATAAAATTGCACTGCAAAAAATAAACTATCGCCATTTTGTCCAGTTACCACCAGATTTTTCATTGTGCACTCATTCATTTTACTTTCTGTCCCATCGTTTATTGCTAAATTTATCGTTTATCTTTGCTTTTAATTAATATTTACTTAAGTTTTCCTTAAAACTAAATATTTTTGATTGAATACCAAAGAAATATGGGCATCACAATTTGAGTTCTTTTAACAACTCGATGCAGCAGACAAATTTACAATTCAAGCTGTTTGTCCAGTAAACATTCTATGTAGATAGCATTAATTCTCAGAATGTTATATTTAGTAGCCACAAAAATAACTTTTCCTAATCTGATGCTTAGCTAAGTGCATGTTTCAGGCGTGTTGTTCATGTTTATTTGATTGTCCTATACCTGAGAACATTGCTTTGTCTTTGTTTGTGTTTAGCCCTTATCTATTCCTTGTTTTACTATGTTCACCTGGTCCTTGTGTGTTTTTGTCACTTTATATTCTGCTCTAGTCTCTGTCCTCACGTCTTTGCTAGTTTGTTTTGTGCTCTTAAGTGAATGTGCAAGAGTCTTCTCAGCAAGTTTATCAAGTCAGGTTAGGGCTGCTCGATTTTGGAAAAAATCTTAATCACGATTATTTTGATCATAATTGTAATTTATGATTATTCAAAACGATTATCAGTTAAAGTCAAAATTATTAGCGCTCCTGAGAATTTTATTTTTTTTAAATAACTATTTCCCAAATTATGTTAAACAGAGCAAGGAATTTTAACAGTATTTCCTCTAATATTTTTTTTTCTTCTGGAGAAAGTCTTATTTGTTTTATTTTAGCTAGAATAAAAGCAGGTTTAAATATTTTGAAACCCATTTAAGGGTCAATATTCTTAGCCCCCTTAAGCAATATATTTTTTGATTGTCTGCAGAAGAAACTACTGTTATACAATGACTTGTCTAATTACTCTAATTAAGCCTTTGAATTGCACTTTTATTTGAATGCTTGTATTTTGAAAAACATCTAGTAAAATGTTATGTACTGTCATCATAGCAAAGATAAAACATCAGTAATTAGACACGATATATCAAAACTATTATATTCAGAAATAAGTTTAAAAAATCTTCTTTCCATTAAACAGAAATTGGAGGAAAAGGGTTGCTAATATTCAGGAGGGCTAATAATTCTGACTTCAACTGTATATATATACAGTTATTTTTTCACCCTGCAAAGGAAAGAGAAATAAATAAAATAGAATAAAAATATGAAACAAACCGTGATTTAAGCATCTTGACCCTAAGAAAAACTCTTTAGCTACAAAAATCCTTCAGTCAAGAGCAGCGAGGAATTTTCTCGTCGTTTGATTAATGGTAAAACAGGCGGCAGCAGGAATATTTCGCACTGTCACTTTAATGGTTTCTCTTTCACGTGTCTTTTGATTCTCAACTCGTTTGTTTATTACGCAAATGAGGGTTAATATGAATATTCACTAATCACCGCGTTTTGACACCTATTTGACCATTAAAGCGCTCACGTTAAGATGACTTTAGATGTCTGCGCTCCTCTGCTCGTCTCAGTGTGCGAATGAGACCGAATGCTTACCCCGTGCTTATGTGTGTGTGCACGCAGTCTTTTGCGCTTTTGGTATATGATGCAATAATCGTTTATCTTGATTAATGGTTTTTCATAACCGTTAGAAGCCATAATCGAAATCGGATTTTCGATTAATTGCACAGCCCTAAGTCAGGTTTATCCTTATACGTTTTGATATACTTGTTTAGTTTGCTTGTTGACTGTTTTAGTTTTATCATTTCATTTTGATGAACGTGCTCTTTGCCTTTTTATTTTATACTTGTCAACTACTTGACTATGGGAAATTTAATGAATTATATAAATAATTCTTGTTTACTTCTGGCCACAACAGTGTCTGATCTAGCAACAACCCTGTTTTATGACCAAGACATATTCATTTACAAATTGTTTATTCAGATGTCGAACCAATTTTGAAACAAAACGATACAAAAACAAAGCATTTCAAACTGATATTATTGCATTTCAAAATAGCTGTATCAGCTTGGATTCGAACCCACTATCCCTGCATGGTAGTCAGAAACCCTAACCGCTCCACTAAATCACTTGGAGGTTTTATCATACAAAGTGGGGTTTAATACCTCAATTTGCTCAACTGTTCTTTGCTGAAGCTGTTGCAAGGCAATACATAAAAATAGCCGCGTTTCCACTATTGCGCCTAAAGTGGGCGAGCCAAGGCCAGTCCTGTTTCCACTGTCACTTCCGGGGCCTAATCAGGCCAAATCGGGGCTTTCTTGGGGCCAGCGGCCGGCCTTTTTCGGCCCGCCGAATACCTTGGGCCAAAGAGGGCCAGCCGGGGCTTCAGGGCGGAGTGCAAGGAGAGGAGGGCACAGTTTTCCGATCGCACACGAGTACATGCACCAAACACATAAACAAATAAATAAATAAATAAGGGAAAGAAAACATCTGGAACAAATTATAGGCTGGGGTCTTTTTGCGTATGATCGCCCTTATGTTTCTCTTTTAAATGTAAGGCTGTTACATAAAATAATAAAGTAGTTTTAATATATAAGTGACTTTGCTGTATCCTCCTTGATGTTTCAATAACGCACAATGATAATCTTTACCCAATATTAAAGACACAGGAGACAGTAAAGGTTTTCGAGAGTTTTTGTCAAGTTTAAAAGGTGTGTTTGTGCGCGTTTAGATGCCTGTATGTGTGTGCGAGACCGAGGAAAAGAGCGCTCCCTTTACAGCTCTGTTGATGCCGCGATCGACTTTTATTCTTCATTTTTTATTGTTTTTATTTATTTTGGAGATAATGTTACAATATGAATACAACAAAGAAAAAAACATTAAACTTAACAAATTTCGTGTCCACTTTTGTAGGCTCAAAACAAAAGTGTCATATCTAGATAAAATAGCCTAAGCTATATTGAAATAATTTAAAGAATTGCAAATATCAGATAGGCCTATAATAAAATCATATTAAATAAATAAACCAATATAAAACTAACAAAAGCTATAGCTATAACAATTAGGTACTATATAAAACTGTTTTAAAACCATATTAAACTTTCATTTTTCAAAAGCCTCACTGAAAAAAAAAAGTTTTAGATATTTTCTAAAAACAATAAACACCGGAGAATGTTTTAAATATTATTTATAAAGTATTTGGATACGATGATATTAATCAAATCATGCAAACAGAGCATTTTCGGGGTGAGTGAAAGCAGAAACAAGGCGACCTTTTTTTCTGTCTTCCAGCTGCGCAGCACTTTTTTGACGCATCAGGGAAAACTGCAAGTTCATAATGTGTTCTGTGTCCTCTAACAAGTGTTTATGTTTTTATATGACGTGGTAAAATTAAAAAAGGACATTCTAAATACATAAAAAGCTTTATTAGTGCATAGCTGCTGAGCGCAGCGAAATATAGGCTATATTTTATTACGTGCTGCTCTCACGTGCTGAAAAACTGAACACTATCCTTTACTTAAGATATAATAAGCAACATCTTTAAATAAAGGGAATCACCTATTAAGTGTCATGAAGCCTATAGGGAAAAGTTCATGTTTCAGTTCTCTCCGGAGCATTTGGGATGAATGTTGGACAGCGTCTGTCTAACTGAGGATGTTATAAAATACATTTTATATCAAGTTATTGATAGAGAATTTTATATATGTGGTTTTATATTATGGATGTGTGCGCTCCCTGCGCTGGGTCCCTCCGTTAGTGGCAAGACCACTGGATTTCGATGCCAACAGTCGATCGGCGAATAAGTGAATATGATGATTGAGAACACATAGGCATGTGCATATAGACATACATTGTACTGCTGTACAGTAACGTGTCATTTGTTTGTTTTGGTTGTCCTAATTTTAATAGTTTTGTGATAATGTGGTGCTATCTGCCTGATTCCCGCTGAAGTGGGCGGATTGAGTGATGTTCAACACTGGAGTGAGTGCAAACACTGGAAGAGCAAAATCCGCTAACTAGTCCAGCTGGGACTTGAACCAGCGACCTTCTTGCTGTGAGGCGACAGTGCTAAGCACTGAGCCACTGTGTTGCCACGGTTTATACTTGTTTTTTTTTTATAACTCTACTATCATAATAGTTGCAATCTGTTTGTAGTTATATGGCAATGAAAGGCAGACAACCACGAGAATAAATTAAACTTTTTATTGAGACCATTTTACTGAGAAATGACTGAGATATGTCATGATGAGAGTCCACATATGCAAAATCTGTTAAAAAGACAATGAATCACTGGAGAGCAAGAGAACCCATGCTGTAATACTGACACTCAATTCACATAGAAGTCAGGTCAGGTGCGTCGTCACCATCTCAATAAAAATATGAAAATGTTTTTCGACTTTTTTTTGTGCATGGTTTGCTTCTTTAACAATATAAAAACGTATAATACTGATTGCAAAACATTGTTTTAATTTACAAAACAAATAACTGTAATAACAATTACCATCCATAATAATAATAATAATAATAACAATAACAATAATTAGATTTTAAAAATGAAACAAAACCAACCAAAAAAAAATTAAAAATCAAAAGAAATAAACCAGTCAAAGCCGCATCATCTTCACTAACACAAACAGCGAGCCTTTTTGTCTTTTTTTCTTGAAATACCCTTTTGGTATAATCTCTTTTTTTTTTAAGTCTGACATGCCTTGTGCAAGTCTAAGATCAGTCTGTGTATATAAATGGTCCTTTACAGTGTAGGTGGAAGCATAACGATTATATGCTCTGCACAGAAAATAAAACAGTAGGCAGTTTGAGGCTTCTGGGAATGTGTACTTCCTAACCCAGACTGTCCTTTTCACTGTTTTCAAGAGTTATAAATACTCCAAATATTCCTTTATTAAGAGAAGCCAGTCATGGGGGAGAGAGAATCTCAACATTTAGATGAAGGGAAGAACCGTCCGGGTGATAAGAACTTGTAGCCGTTCCCTGTAGGCAGTCGGATAGGTTGCAAACCCGGACTGCTTCTGGTGGAAGCTGTTGGAGAAGGTGCAACTCTCTTGGGATCGATCTTGCGATGGCCATTGGGTGGATTTCTGTGCTCGAGTGCCACATTCTGGTTGGGGGAATCCTGACCTGTCATGCCATGCCGGGGAGAGAGGTTCAAAAGACCAAGAACATCCCGTTTGGCGGTGCTCAGTTTTCCGCCGTGTAGCGCCCGCATTGGTCCCGAGTGCTGCTGTTGGGTTGCGTTGGCCCAGAAGGTCTTAAGATTGTGGATCGCTTGGACTTTCTCGTCAATTGCCGCCAGTTTGATTCGGTCAATATCTGGAGCGTCTGCTGGACTAGAGCGTGTTGAGCCAGTGGAGGAGTAGGACAGAGCTGGAGAAGGAGCGCTTCCAGCTGGCGACTGGTGACCTGAGCTAGGTGAGATGTTGCTAGGTGACCGGGAGATGTGGCCGCTGTAGGGCGAGCTGGGATACTTGAGTTTAAACTGGGCATGACTGTCAGAAGTAGGTGAAGGTTGGCTGCCTTCTTTAAGAGATGTTTCGGATGTGGCAGGACTGTTGTATCCCGAGCTGACCTTCTGGAGGGAGGACGTCCGGGATGGTGGTTTGGGGCGTGCTGGAAGGGGCGACGACTGTGCCTTGATGCTTGCCCTGCTACTGGGACGACTGAATGCACTTGTCTCTGAAGATCGGAAAGCAGACCCTCCTGTTGGGGTCGGGGGACCTCCACCACTCATCCCGTCACCCAGAGGCACACTTCTCTGCAACGTCTCAACAGCTCGCATGTGGCTTTGCGTTTCTTCCAGAATCTTTTGCGCCAGTTCTTGTGGGTCCAAAGGAGCTCCGGGCGTGCGTTCCTCTTGGGATTTCACAGTGCTGTCCGTCTCTGTGCTGGACTGATCAGACTCCCCTGTGTCAGAGCTGCTCACCTTCCCAACCTTCTGGAAGGGCGAGTTGGGACTGGGAACCAAGGTGGCTTTGACAGGAGACGTTGGGGTGCTTACACTTCCCCTGGAGGACACGGACACAGCATAACCCCTACCGGCCCCACCACGCGCAGCACCTCGATGATTCCTGTGGTTTGCGGGACGAGGGAGTGTGTCACATTGGCTACCTAGTGGCTCGCTACTGATTATACTGTATCCTTCGTACTCTTCATCCTCATGTCCTCCAACGGCTCCATGTGGAGATGAGCGGCTGCGAGGAACTACCGTGTGCCGATGGGATGCGAACAGCCCAGCTCCCCCTCGATGCCGCTCCAGTTCCTGCTGCCTTGAGCGTTGGCTGATAAACTCGGACGCACCCTCAGGACGGGATAGGAAGCTCATGGAGGAGGCAATGGAGCTCAGGCTGTACACCGAGATGGCATCCGAAGCCAGGCTGTCAGGGCATGGAGGGGAAAAGGGCGGGTTGGGGTAGCCCATTGGCAGCTGGTGGCACACAGACTGTGCAGAGGCCAGAGACTCCAGAGACGATGAACTATCCAGGCTTAGACGCTTCGGAAGCTCAGTAGAGTCTGAGGGAAACATCAGACAATAAGTCAGACATTTGAATCGAACCAGTGACTTTCTTGCTGTGAGGCCGCAGTACTAACCACTGAGCCACGGTATGATTAAATTACTGTCAAACATAAACAGTGTAAGGGTGAAGCTACTGTACACTTACCAAACAGTGCCAGCAGCGACTGCAGGGCAAAGTGCATAGTGCGACGGTTGGCCTGTTTGCCCGTCTTCAACACCACCTCCTCCTGACCGACCTCACACAGGTCAAACCCTGAGACAGACAGATGAGCCATCAGAATGGAGTAAAGCTTCTCACGCTGTTCATTTTGCCTCGAAACTCCTCTTACCCAATGCAGCCAGGAACTCGTGACAGCCAGGAAGTCTCCAGAGCTGCACGCTGATGGACACTTGGATAGGTGCGAGAGAGAAATCATGCTCCTTCTCTCCAGACTGCAACTGCACCAAAACCTGATGGAGCTGCAGGAAATCAAATCAATGACGTTTAATATATAACAGGCTTTTATTAGACAAGCAAGGTCAAAGTAATAAACTGGGAATCAATCAAATCAATGATATAAAAAGTAGCTCTCATGCTATGAAATATCACAGCTAAAATTATTAGTGAGTTCATTGACAGTATTGTGTTAGTGTAGAGTTAGTTGAAAGCAGATCTGTAAGCTCTTACCATTCCCACAACATTTTTAACAGCCTTTAGTGGTAGGTTTAGGAAAAAGAGAAGGAAAGAGAGTTGCTAGCGTTAGCAGTGTTGTTACATACAGATCAGACGCATGAGCAGTGTTGCTTAATGAATATTAAAGTGTTTTGGATTCATGGTGTGTGACATCTCACCCGGTTGATCAGCTGTTCTCCGGTTTCTGAAGCCGTGATCAGTTTACACAATGCCTGCAGAGCAGGAGGGGGCAGACCTGCCAACATGGAGGACAAATATCTCAGAGTTAATTGTGTGTGTGTGTGTTTTATGTCATGTTATTTGATATTTATTTTAAAAGGAACAATACACATTTTAAAACTAAACTAGAACCTAAAGTTCATTGATAAACTTTGATGTTGGCTTGAGAAAGTCAAACGTTTATGGCATTGTTAGGTGGTTGCTAAGCAGTTGCTAAATGGCAATGCTCGTGTACATGTTTGATCAAATGCTAATACTTAGTAGGCATTTCTAGCATATGTTATTGCATTTAGATAATCATTCATAGCATGTAGCTAATCTTTATTAGAACATACGTTATTAGAATACACAGGAAGTCCCATTTGCTAGCATGAGTCAAACAAGCCAATGCCCAGGTCCCTACGATGTTCTGATGTAGAGATATTGCTATTTTTAAATGGTTGCTAGGTTATACTGTTTTATTGCTATGGGGACATTTGACAGGTTAGTTTAGTTAGACAGTTAGTTAGACATTTGCCAAGCTTCTTGGCAATATGAGTGATCTAAATCAACCCCGATGTTTCTATGACAGTCTTTATGAGTGTCAAAAACTGGACTTGAACATTATGTATTCCTGGTGTTGGGTTTCGGCTGGAAGGGCATTTGCTGTGTAAAACAAATGCTGGATAAGTTGGCGGTTCATTCCGTTGTGGCGACCCCTGATTAATAAAGGGACTAAGGGAATGAACATTATGTAAAAATGGCTTGCTGTATTTTTTTGAAAATACAATGCTTAAGTGTGAAGGTGATACATGCTAAAATGGCTTGCCATATCAGTAAAAAATATGGAGTTTAAGTCAAAAATGGCTTGCCATATTTTGAGAAAAATAATGCTTAAAAATTATTTATTGGAAAACTATAAGTCTGATAAACCTTAAAGATATAGCAACAAAACCTAACGCATCTAAATACAGCTTTTGGCCAAATTTTGGGCTTGTATAATTTTTTTATATGCCCGGATTATAAAAAATGTATGTTTAACATTTTTTATTTAAAAAATTATAAGTCTTACAGGCATGAGGAGATATAGCAACAATCTTGAATGCAGAAGGCACATTTTGACCACATTTGGGCCTTGTGGCATGAACGGCCTAGGAGGAGATATGTTTGTTTTCAAGGACAGAGTAGTATAACAGTATGTTGGCTTTCTCAAGCCAACATAATAACATTTATACAACTCCCCTAGAGTTACAGGATGGAGTTTTATCATTTTTGAATTCAGCCAATCACCGGGTCTGGTAGGAGCCCTTTTAGCTTAGCATGGCATAGATCATTGAATCGACCAGGGGTGCGTTTCCGAAAACCATCGTTAGCCAACTACGGTCGCAAGTTTTATCGTTACAAACACAGTTCATTCATTTGCCGTTTCCGAAATCCATCATTCCAACGAACATTCGCAAACTGCATCGTAAACCACTGTTGCCAACTATTTTCAATGAAAAGGCACTAAGCTCTGCCCGAAAAGTCGATAAAGTTGCTAGATAAGTCAATTTGCATATTACTGACATCATCACGTTCTTCCGTTTCGTTTGCTTAACAGCCTATGGTTGATAAAGGGGCATTTATATTTGCACTACGCTTTAGGTAAGCATGTCAATTTACCTAAATGTATTGCTGTTTGAATACAGTATATCAATATAGATGTGTAGGTAATTTGCAGTAATCTCCCAGATGTAATAAACTCAGACAAGTTCAGAAATTGTCACTGAAATACCTGTGATTGTGAACAAGAAAAGAATAAGAGGTCATATTAAATTGTTAAAGTAAAAGAGAAGCAGATCGGTTTAACCTTACAATGGAAATACCTCACACTTCCTGTACTAAATCATTTGCTGTCGGTACGCAGAGGAGTGATCTGCTCTCAGGCTGCAGGTGGGAGAGACTGCTGTACAAGGACTGACTGGGCTGCCTGTCAGTGCTCTGAGGCGGGGGAGGGGCCGGCGGCATCACCCACAGCTCGTTAAGAAGAGTAGGGACGGTACAGTATGGGTCTGAAAAGTCACTAAATATAAGTTGGCAACACTGTCGCAAACTTATATGCTTGCAACTACACCTCTGGAGCTGTAGTTAGAAACATAGTTCCTGGCTGTGTTCTATTCCCAGTTATCCCCCCTATGCCCTATTGTTAGCACCGAGTTTTAGAAATCTTCATGTCTACAATTGCGCTCCCTTCGCAGTGCACTTTGAAAACATTGATGCCGTTTGAACACAGCCGTGGCTCATGACGAAAGCTAATCAAGGACTTTGCTGCTGTACCGTGACTGCAGCAGGCAAAAATCATTAGTCATGTTAACGTGATACGCTAATAGTTTAATCTGATTCAATGATTTATGCTAAGCTAAGCTAAAAGTGCTACTGCCAGACCCAGAGATGGGCTGAATAAAAAAATAAATGGTAACTAGTTAACTGTAGGAGAGCTGTAAAAATTAGACTATTTTCAAAAGTAAAATGTTGAGTGTTCCCTTAAAGGGTGTGTAAAGTAAGAAATTTTATTGGATGTGATTATGTAGGCTAATAATTTTACTTCTCTCACCTAGTAAGACTTACTACATATGGAATTCTCTACATCTTCCTATTGTGAATGCTCCGTCATTTGAATGTTTTGAGAAATCTCTCAAAACTAAAAATTATTTTTTAGTGAAGCTTTTAAGTTATCATGTTTGTGTAACGGAGGCCAGCTAGTGAATGCTGTGCAGGTAAACCTCACTCCTCTGACCTCTAAAGGTGCTCTAGCGACAGACGCTAGAGGCCATGGTCTTTAGCCTCCTTGGTAGAGTGCCCGACTCCCATGCGGAAGGTCGGTTAAATTTGCTAATGTTGTTGTGTATTGTGTTGTTGTGGTTGCTATTATGGAATATTCATATTTTACTGTTGTTTTATTGTTGTAGCACCATAAGTGTAAGGCACATTACAAATAAATAGTATTTTTATTCTTATTGTGCTAACCAGATTTTCTTGCTATTTTTGTGAATGCTCAGTGGGGTTGTAGCCTAAAACGAATGTATGTACAGCGTTGTAGTCTAAAAGGAATATGTACCCAGCAGTGACTGTAGGGTGGTGCTGCATTGCTGCAGTCGGTCTCCGGGGTCTGTGGTGGGGAAGAAGACGGCCGCAGGGAGGCCCGTTCCAGCCGAGTCCAGTCTGAATCCCACTGCTGTCAGAAGAGCCTGCCAGCCGGGCACGCCACCCACTTTATTCTCTACACTCTGCTGAGACGTGTACATGGAGTTCCTCTGGCCATTCTGAATGCGCTGGAGAGATTTCTCCACCTGAGGGAGACACAGAGATGGAGATGAATCGTTTGTACAATATCAGACAAAAGAGCTCCTCGTTGACTTTTAGTACTCTCTGCCAATTAAAAATAAATATCAAACTTTATCAAAATAAATTAAAACAGAAATGGTAGCTGTGGAGATGATATAACCAAAAAAAAAAATCTATCCATCAATCCATCCATCTATCTATCTATCTATCTATCTATCTATCTATCTATCTATCTATCTATCTATCTATCTATCTATCTATCTATCTATCTATCTATCTATCTATCTATCTATCTATCTGTCTGTCTGTATGCGTCCGTCCGTCCGTATGCATCCATCCATCCGTCTGTCTGTCTGTCTGTCTATCTATCTATCATCTGTCTGTATCCATCCATCCATCCATCCATCCATCCATCCATCCATCCATCCATCCATCCATCCATCCATCCATCCATCCATCCATCCATCCATCCATCCATCCATCCATCCATCTATCTATCTATCTATCTATCTATCCATCTATCTATCTATCTATCTATCTATCTATCTATCTATCTATCTATCTATCTATCATCGGTCTGTATGCATGCATCCATCCATCTATCATCTGTCTGTATGCATCCATCTATCCATCCATCCATCCATCCATCCATCCATCCATCCATCCATCCATCCATCCATCCATCCATCCGTCTGTCTGTCTATCTATCTATCTATCTATCTATCTATCTATCTATCTATCTATCTATCTATCTATCTATCTATCTATCTATCTATCTATCTATCTATCTATCTATCTATCTATCCATCTATCCATCTATCATCTGTCTCCATCCATCCATCCATCCATCCATCCATCCATCCATCCATCCATCCATCCATCCATCCATCCATCCATCCATCCATCCATCCATCCATCCATCCATCCATCCATCCATCCATCCATCCATCCATCCATCCATCCATCTATCTATCTATCTATCTATCTATCTATCTATCTATCTATCTATCTATATCCACCCACCCATCCACCCATCTATCTATCTATATCCACCCATCCATCCATCCATCCATCCATCCATCCATCCATCCATCCATCCATCCATCCATCCATCCATCCATCCATCCATCCATCCATCCATCCATCCATCCATCCATCCATCCATCTATAAAAATAAATAACTAAAAATCACAAATATCTATTTTTCATCTTTTACTCTAACCCTATATATTGTATATACTGCTACATTCACATACATAAATAATACATATTGGAATTGAATGGAAATGTGCCCAATGGTCCTGCTAAAGCTTATGTGTGTTTCTCACCAGGTGTAGCAGAACCCTCAGGGCATCTCTGGCTTTCTCTGGATGCTGCAGGATCTCAGCCAGAGCCTGACCAATAAGAGATGACGGGCTGTTCAGTTTCACATCACTCCCAATCAGCATAAAGCCTGAGGAGACATTCAAATCATGAGGAGGACAGCAAACACATCTTAAAATGTACAGTATACTCTTCACGTTGCATTTATGATACATAACATCACTATGCATGTACGCGACATATTTGGAGCAGTTAAAATATCATCACCATTTAAAATAAATGTTTGGTTAGCATATTTTGAAATGTGATTTATTCCTGTGATGGCATATTCGTTGTCACGTGATCTTTAATCTATTTGATCACGAATCATTTCTTATTATCAATGTTAAAACACGTTGTGTTGCTTCATAATTTTTCTCTCTGACGATAGAAATTTTAAAAAGACAGTATTCATTTGGAATACCAGACCTTTCTAACATGATAAATGTTTTTTTCTGTCACATTTCGTCAGCTCTACGTTCCTATTTTAATTGTAATAATGTGTTCTCATTCGTTTTTGATCAAATTAATATCAACTTTAAGGAAGTTTTTTTGTATTATTATTTTTTATTATAGTTTTTTTTTTTTTTTTGTAAAAGGCTCATTTCTAAAGTCTAACAGTTTAGTTTTACCATTTTTGAATCCATTCAGCTGATTTTCGGGTCTGCCGGAAACACTTTTAGCTTAGTTTAGTTTAGCATAGATCATTGAATCGGATTAGACCATTATCATCTAATGGTCTAAAAATTCTCCTTTTTAAAGCTTTAAAAAAAAATAAAAAAGTTGCTATTTTTAGGCCAATATGGCTAAGAGCTATACTCTCATCCTGGCATAATAGTCAATGAATTGAAACTTAAAGGAAGTTTTTTTGGAAAAACTCTCATTTTCACAAGTTTAACAATTGAGTTTGACTATTTTTTTAATCCATTTTGCTGATTTTCGGGTCAGGCGGGAACATTTTTAGCTTAGCATAGATCAATGAGTCAGATTAGACCATTAGCATCTCCAAAAAAGTTTTTTAAAAAGTTTATAAATTCTCCTATTTAAAGCTTGAAATTGAAAGCTTGCTATTTTTAGGCCAATATATCCAACTTAAAGCAAGTTTTGTGGAAAAAGGCTTATTTTACAAGTTTAACAGTTAAGTTAGACTTTTTTTGAATCCATTCAACTGATAATTGGGTCTGGCGGAAACCCTTTTAGTTTAGCTTAGCATTGATCATTGAATCGGATTAGACCACAGTTGTCAAACTCAGTTCCAAAAGGGCCGCAGCTCTGCACAGTTTAGTTCCAACCCTAATTAAACACACCTGATCAAACTAATTGAGTCCTTCAGGCTTGTTTGAAACCTACAGGTAAGTGTGTTGGAGCAGGGTTGGAACTAAACTGTGCAGGGCTTCGGCCCTCCAGGAATTGAGTTTGACAGCCCTGGATTAGTCCATTAGCTGTTCAAAAAAGTAAAAAATTAAAATAAAAAAAATAAATAAAAGACTTGTAAAATTCTGTTATTTAAAGCTTGAAAAAGGTTCTATTTTTAGGCCAATATGGACTATAAAAGAGCTATACTCTCATTCTAGCATAATAGTTAATGAATAGAAACTTAAAGCAAGTTTTTTTGGAAAAAGGCTCATTTTACAAGTTTAACAGTTGAGTTTGACTATTTTTGAATCCATTCAGCTGATTATTGGGTCTGGCGGAAACACTTTTAGTTTAGCTTAGCATTGATAATTGAATCAGATCAGACCATTAGCATCTAAAAAAAAAGTTAGAAAAAAAAAACAAACAAAAGAGTTTCAATAATTCTATTCAAAGCTTTAAAATAAAAATGAAAAGTTTTTTAATTTTTAGGCTGATATGGTTAAGATCTATACTCTAATTCTGGTATAATCGTCAATGAATTTTGCTGCCATGCATTGGCTGCACCTGACCCAATGCTAATGGTCTAATCCGATTCAATGCTTTATGCTAAGCTAAAACTTGATTGGCTGAATGGATAAAAAAATGGTTAAAATCAGCAGTTTATCTTGTAAAATGAGCCTACTTTCTAAAAAAGCGGAGTGTTACTTGAATGTGCAAGGACTGCAAGGCACAAATTACAATTAAATTAACAATATTCAGCATTTACCCCAGAATGATTCGCTAATGTACTTCATATTTCTCAAATATTATATGTTTTATCATCATAATGTTCACAGTATAAAGTAATGTGTGTGTGGTAGTGCATACCTGCCCAGTTGGACGGGTGTGAGAACTGTTTGCTACTCTGAACAGTCTTCATAGCGTCGGCGAGCGCTGCGCTGGCCTTGGTCCCATTAAGCAGAGCGCTGTAGAACGCATGAACAAACATCTTGGAGGCTGCAACGGGAACCGGCCATAAAGACACCAGCACACACTGAGCTCCGGCCGCCAGGAAAGCCCTCGTCAATCCAACCACTCCATCCGCAGTCACTTTACTATCAGACTCCTGGTACGAGCTGCAGGGTTAAAAAAGCAGACGGTTAGCATCATTGAGCAGTAATTCACCAAGCGATATCATTTTAATTAGGCTATAAAACTACTGTGGATATGATCGCTCTCAAAGTACAGCCACAATTTATGTACGAAATGAGGAAGTGCTAAAACTAAAGCTGTGCGAAAAGGATCTATGAGTAATTGAATGATTCAATACACTTCATACAGTCAGTTTCATATCAAGTGTATATAATATTTTGACCACTGTAAAAGGCACAACTAATAGCCTCTGTGCTGAATGCATAGATGCTGAAAAAAAAGAATGAAAGGTGTCCACTGACCCCAGCACAACAAGTTTAGTGGGCAGCCTGAGATCAAGGATATCTGCGGCGGTGAGCAGAAACTCTTGCAGCGGCGGGCTGTCACAGATGCTTTCAGCGTCGCTTGCGTCGTCCGGCACGCGCAGACTCTCCGGGATGGTGTAGTTTGACTTTCCTCCACTCTCTCCACCTCCTGCTCCTCCACCTGAAGCGGCTGCCCCGGATCCAGAGTTGCTGTCCTGGCTGGGCGTCAGGACAAGGGCTGCCAGTTTCCAGGAGATATGCGTTGCGAAATGGGCGCACTCGGCTTGGGTGAGAGCGCTCATAACCCGCTCCTTTGTGGCAGCAGGACCGGCCAACGGCTGACAGCCTAGAAGATCAGCCACCATATGAGCTTCCTCCTCAGCGGTGGGCATCGGACCCCACAGCCAGCGGTCCATCACTGATGGTGGCAGACGAGGGTTTCCGACCACTGCAGCCATGGAGCTTCCTCCATTACACAGAAGAGGACCAGTCCGCCGTGGATGAACCTGGTGAGAATAAACAGAACAAAATTAATTAGTCATTTAAAACAGTGTGTACTTGTGAAATAATTTAGTCGAATAATAATGTTGCTGTTGCTGTTAGGCGATCAGATGTGTTTATTTTACCATACTAAATGAGTTTCTGCTCTTATCATATTAAGCAACAACTTTATTGTGGTAAAATCACTGTTGTTTGATGCCAGATTGCTTTACTAGTGTATGAATGGCACTACGAGTAAAACTCGTTCTGCATGACTAAAATAAAACATTAGATGAAAGATTTAAATAATATATAACTAATATTTAAATACTTTTTTTTTCTTTTTTCAATATTTCCCAAATGATGTTTAACAGAGCAATGAAATTTTCACAGTATGTCTGATAATATTTTATCTTCTAGTGACAGTCTGATTTGTTTTATTTCGGCTAGAATAAAAGCAGTTTTAAATTTTTTTAAATCCATTTTAAGGTCAAAATTATTAGCTTCTTTAAGCTATTTTTTTCCTACAAAACAAACCATCATTATACAATAAGTTGCCTAATTACCCTAACCTGCCTAGTTAACCTAATGAACCTAGTTAAGCCTTTAAATGTCACTTTAAGCTGTATATAAAAATATCTTGAAAAAATGTCTTTAAAAATATCTAGTCAAATATTATTCACTGTCATCATGACAAAGATAATATAAATCAGTTATTAGAGATGAGTTATTAAAACTATTATGTTTATTTGTTGAAAAAATCTGCTCTCAGTTAAACAGAACATGAGGAAAAAATAAACAGGGGGGCTAAAAATTCAACTGTGTGTGTATGTATGTATGTATGTATGTATATATATATATATATATATATATATATATATATATATATATATATATATATATATATATATATATATATATATATATATATATATATACACTGACCGGCCACTTTACTATGTTATAATTTACATCAAGGGTTCTTAAACTCGGTCCTGATGGTCTGATGTGCTGCAGTTTTTAGCTCCAACTTGCCTCAAAACACTAGCAAGGATATTTCTAGAACCCTAGTTAGAGTTTGATAAGCTGGCCCAGGTGTTTCTGATTGGGAATTGAGTTCAAATTTGCAGGACACTGGCCCTCCAGGACAAAGATTAAGAACATTGATTTATAGTATAATCTAGTGTTAACATCCTCTTATAAGACACTCTGGGTGACATTTCTGTTTGTGCAGGATTACTAAACCTCAGCACATGGGTTGTGCCTGTTTCCGCAGATCAAAAAGAGGA